GTTTTATGCAATTTTCTATTATCTGTTCATATCTACTATTGCCTTATGGCAAGCTAAGCATCACAATGGAAATCAAAGGGATTTATAAGAGCAATATCTTGACTGTTACAGACACAAATTACACTAGGAGTGTCTGACAGCCAGTCCTTTTTTTCTTTCATGTTACCGTGCTGCCCAAAGCAGTACACATTTCAAGGCCAACAAGAAACACATTAGTGGTCTTTGTAGACATGGCTGCATTATAGGCAATTGTAGTTTCATTTATAAGGAGACTAGTGGTGCAGCTTCTAATGCACATTGTGAGGAGCTCACAGTGAAATCAGAGTAAGTGATTTCAGTACAGGAGAGGAGCCGGTAAAACTCTGCAACACTGCAACATCTTCTCATCTCACTGTAGTGCAAACAGGCACAGCCTACATGAGGGCGGCAACTCTGCTCTGAATTTAGGACAGTGCAGCAGTGTTGCCACACCATCACAGGAAGTGGCATTAGGTGAACATCACTATCAATCTCAACAGGTCTTTGTGGCACTTTGCAGGGGGACTAAGAGACATCTGTAAGTGTAGATGCACATATAATTAAATATGGCAGTATTTGTTTTTTAATCAGGGGCCATAGTTCTAGTAGTAAAGGCAATCACAGAAATTCACAGGAACAACTATGTGGATGCAGAAAATCTCATAACGGAAGACCTTTATTCCTTCTTCTAGATGGCAATCTTTATAATAGGTCTGCCTGCTCATACAGCAGTGTTGGCTTGACTGTGATAGAACGTTTGATGAGAAGCCAACAACAATGACAGCTAACGCTTCAGCTTTCTGAGTGCGGCAGCTTCAGATGTCTATTGACATAGAGAGCGATGTCACCGGTATACTGTGATTTTTTACTATGCAAGTATTGTGTATATTAATCATTATCTTTCCATATGACAATCAGACAAAAACAAATGTACACAGACAGACGGACGAAAGTAAACAGATAAATAACCCAAGCCAGAACAAAGTAGAATCTGACAGAGGCAGTAGGCACTAAAGCGCTTTACTGGGGAAAATCATGTTATAGCTACAAAATCAGGCCAGTTTAAAAGAGCAGAACTCCCAGAACTGGAACAATATCAGTCCCTGAATGAGCGCTCAGTGAATCCTCACCATCCTGCATTTCTCCAGCCTGGAAATAGAACATTACTGTAACCTGCAATTTATAGCGGTGCAATGAAGACTGAGTGCCACCAGGGAGCACGGGGTTTAAAGCAGTTAGATATGAAAAGCAAAGCAGAGATTTATAGAGTTCAGCCACTGTGAACCCATTCCAGTTATTTATTCATACTATTTCGCTCTCTCATTCATTTGTGGTGCAGAATTCAAGAGGAGCTTACTGATGTGATGTCTTATATGAGAAGTGTTCATGTAATCAGGTGAATTCCTGTAACAGGCATTAAGGGGCTCATTCACAAATGCGCTATAAAACATGTGTTACTGCGACCTACTGCAACCCATGTTGATGCATGGCTATATATGTGAGCGTTAACGCACTGCAACAATAATAATGAGTTTGCTATAATTCTGAGCTGTTACTTAGGCCTTGTTCACACCAAATGCATGAGTTTCTGCACACGCAGTGCAGTGTGTTATACCGCGTTTTTGCAGCGTTTTTGATGCGTTCAGGGCCATTTTTTTTTTTTTTAGTTTAGAATGGGCTTTAAGTGCGTTCCAGGGCATTTGCATGCGTTTTTGATGCGTTTGCGAACGTTCCAGAGCAGGTAAAATAGGGCTTGCTGCAGTTTTTTTTTACATGCTCTGGAACTGAATGCTGTGGTGTGAACTAGAGCCCAAAATACCATTGGAATACATTGGACGCAGTTTTGATCCGGTCTGTAACAGATCTGCTCTGCTCCTGGAACGCGCTTGGTGTGAACAAGCCCTTATGGTCATAATTAATAGGTCCCACATACCAAACAGTACAAAATAAGGACTGTTCTGGTAGCTAATAGGTCCTCCCCCCTTTCATCCAGAGCAGTATGGAAGGAAGAATCTCACTGGCTGCCCCAGGGAAGAGCACAGTTACACCGTTAAACCCTTTGATAAATAGAACCAATTATCTACTAATAATGCAAAAAATCAATAAGCTTCAATAAAGACACCAGAAATGAGAGCAAATAAAACAAAATCAATGTGAACGCCAATAAATGTTAGATGTTAACAGTTTGTTTACACAGTGAGAATAGAAAGGCGCAGCACATATGCTCAGATCCAATTATTTCCTGTTCACATCAGAACATACATATTAAACACTGACGTGTCAGCTGTTTCCCCATAGCTGGCTGACTCTCAAGAAGAACCTCTAAAGTGAATGAACATTCCATGCCTTTAATAGAGAAACTGCAGGCAAGGAAGATGATCTGCCAGTGAAAAAGATGTTCAACCGTTTAGCAAAAAATACTGAAATGCGCTCAGTTACAATACATTTCACAAAATGGCCAAGAAAATTCAGACTGTGTGTAGCAGAAGAAATCCATCAGCTTTCATAGGTAAACAGAAAAAAAAAACACACACAGCTCATTGCCACCTCCTGGAAGGATGTGGTTTTCCATTTATAAACTTGGCAGTGAGATCTTATACAAGTGATGGGTCTGGCAGGAGTACAGTAAAAACACTGATGACATATTGCAGCAATAGTAAATAGATTAACCATTTCTCTACTCAGAAGGAACATTGTAACGGTGATAAACCCGTTCTAGTTACTGTCTCAAGAGTACAGTGTGCACGCCCGGCTGAATGACACCAATATCCTTAGCAACCAAGGAGAGAACAGAAATGTGCTTTGTACTGTAATGTGCAAAAGGAGAGTAGGAGATGGATGAGCAATTCCATCACATTGAAAGGCAGACATGAGTACTAAACTCCACTTTTCTCAAAGTAAAAGAATAAATCTGTTCTCACTGCAACACTCACCTACTCTCCGACGCTGCCCCACTTCCCTCACAAACTCACGGCTATACCTTTCAGCCCCGGTCCTCTTCTGGGTTGAATAACGCCCAGCGGCACACAAATGCTGCAGTTGGGCTTTAAAGTGAACTGAATTGGTGCTGAGACTGTCCTTCCTTCTGGAGGGTGACTACGTTTGTTCCCCATGGTCCCTGTGTGTGTTGTAAAGTAGTCACCGCTCCAAACTCGCTCCCGGGATGGACTACAATCTTATGTTTAGTCTACTCATTTGTATGGAGATTGTAGTCCATCCCGAGAGTGATCTTGGAGCGGTGACTACTCTACAACACACACATGGACCATGAGGAACAAAAGCAGCCCCCCTCCAGAAGGAAGGATAGTGTCAGCACCAATTCAGAGATGATTGGAGGATCTACAGCTGAGTGATACACAAATAAGATACATTGTTATTCAGAGTTAAGGGACTTGAATGTATTTTTAAGGTTTAACTCCTGAGTTTAGTGTCACTTTAATTATTGTTAAAATTAATTTTAAATTTTTTGAACATGGCATTTTTGCCACCTTCCTTCCATGAACAAACCAAGCATGAAGCCTCATCCACATACCGTGTTTCCCTGAAAATAAGACACTGTCTTATATTTTTTTTGGCTCACAAAAACACACTAGGTCTTATTTTCGGGGTAGGTCTTATTTTTTTTTTAATGTACAACAATCCAAAGTTAGTGCAAATCCAAATTAAATAATCCAAAATGGCAAAGTTAAGAATAGTGTGATCAGGGCAATCAGGGGGTGCCGTACCATTCCAAGAGCAATTTGGTAACCAATCGCGCTTTCACTAGTATTCCTCACAGGCGGAGTGAGTTTGATATCACTCCGCCTGTGACAGGAGCCGGCGTTATAGAGGAAACATCGGCTTATGTGGCTCTGCTCCATCCGCTGCCGCCTCGCTTCCTCTAGCGCCGGCTTCGTTGGCACCGCTGATTCTCTCCCGCGGCTCTTCAAGTTTCCCCTTATGACACCACCGGCCCTGGGAATGGTCACAACTAGGTCTTATTTTCGGGGTAGGTCTTATATTTTAGCAATTCCCAAAAATAGTACTAGGTCTTATTATCGGGGTACGTCTTATTTTCAGGGAAACAGGGTAGCTACATGCTGGCCTGTACATATCCGTGTTGCGTGCACGGCTGTATTGGGCCGTTCCCGGGAAGGACAGGTGCTGCGTATGATTTGTACGCAGCAGCTTGTTCTTCTATATGGGAGTACGCGGCCGTACACCGCCCTACCTAACCTGCTCGTCCGTACGGTTGCGGGTGAGCATACTCGTATGCTGACAGGATGGATCTTAAATAGAAAGTCAACCGAAAATGTATACTTCACTATTGATGAAGGGTGGTTATGGAACCCTTTAGTGTATTATTAATACATGAAGCTCTTAATCAGATCTAATTAATGTCACAATATTCTGCACTGTCACAAGACTAGAAAAGGTTCCTTATGGATGAGGAAGGGTTTCGTGTGCCTTCAGATAACTTATGTTAATCTGTCCCGGTCCTGACTAGACCCCCTGAACCTCTCACATATTCTGTGGCTTTGACACTGACCCAGGAGATTTCTTTTTCTCTTGTCTGTTCTTATATTTCCTGGTCACTCCCGTCTTACTGTCCTTTATTTCTCCAGCTAATGATCCAAATATTTTACATTGATGTCATTTATGACATTTATGGGGTCCTGCCATTTATTTTTACTTGAAAAGCAATAAAGATGATTGAGCTGAAAATGAAGATCTATTGCAGATGTGATACTGTTGAATAGCAGGGTGCGGAATCGCTTATCTAGGAATAACAATAGCTAAAGGATTGCCTTGACTATTGCCGTGACAAGTTGAATAAATAATACATTGCTATTGTTTCCTGCTGCAAATTGTTATTTAGCTTATGAGTGATTTCTCCAGCGTATTGCACAGCTGCTGTTTTGACACATACAGTACGTGGATTGCTAATCATATTATTCTATAAAAAATAGGCATTGGAATGTGAAAGTGTTTCTCATAGCAGCATGGTGGTGGCTCATTGGTTACCACATCAGCCTGGCAGCACTGAGGTCTCCGGTCTGAATCCAGGACATTATCTGCATGGAGTTTGCATGTTCTCCATGTGGTTGTGTGCATTTTCCTCCGGGTACCCTGATTTCCTCCAGTACTCCAAAGACTTGCCGGTGGGATCATTGGATCCCATCTAAACTGGCCCTTGCATTTGTTTATGTGAGATTGGGACCTTAGTTTGGAAGCTCCTTAAGGAGTGAATGTGCAACTATGTAAGTCAATGGTGCTATGTACTGTAAATATACAATATATATACAGTAATACCTTGGTTTACAAGTAACTTGGTTTGAGAGTGTTTTGCAAGACAAGCAAATTTTTCTGAAAAATGTTGCCTTGATATACAAGCAAATGTCTTGCAATAAGAGCAAAATTTTGTAGAAAAGCGCCACCCGAATAAGGCTGTAGCAGTGTGAGCGATGAGTCTGTTTAACGACAATGCAATGTCACATTGGATAGATTCCTTGTTAAGGTTTCACGAAATGAAAAATATTCCATTGAGTCAAGAGATAGCAGTGATTCCATTAGTGATAGTGAAAGTCGTCCTACACAATAATCCTCCTCTCTCTTGTCCCCCTCACACCAGCCATGAAGGTACCGGTAATTGGTTTATTTTCCTTTATATTTTGTACAGTATTCTATTACAGTACAGTATTGTAATCATTTTTATATGAATATTTTTGGGTTGTGGAACGAATCATCTGAATTTCCATTATTTCCTATGGGGAAATTCGCTTTGATATACAAGCGCCTTGGATTACAAGCATGCTTCCGGAACGAATTATGCTCGTAAACCAAGGTATTACTGTATATAGATACAGTACATGTATCAATGTGCTAGGTAACACACATGCATAGGTGTGAATCCAGCCTCACCCTGGATCACATCTTTCTTGTTCTGGTCAGAATACAGGTCGCAGATTTATGTCACAATATTCGTTTCTACTCTTGGCTACATTTGTGTCACTACAGAATGGCCCCGGTGGTATTAAATCATTTTCCGACCTTGTGATGCAAATGCATTTTATACATCTTTAGGATGAAATTCCCACTGTGACCCTCCCCTGCCAGAGCAAGTCTTCCAGAACGTTGGCTTGGGTATCAAACAACACGGGAAAAACAAGATATCTATCGACGATACAACAATGCACCTTGCTATCACGGCTACACAAGCCAGCGGTGTCACTACAGAAATAATGTGTTTATAATCACTCACTGTTGTTTATAATCTTTATTTTAGTTTTTTACATTTTTTCCAAAACAAATGTACACAGAAGATAATAACAGAGTATCAGTATCAAAGCAAGGTGAAAAAGGTACAAACGGAAAGAAAACAACATCAAAACACAGCACAAAAACTGCAGCATCCAATGTTGCAATAGTAACGAAGCAGTAAAGATAGACACAAGGTGTAGATGACTTCCCGAACACAACAGTGGGACAATAGAGTAATAGGGTCATCTGGGCCGTGGACATGTCCGTATCCAGTAGAAATAGAGAACTAAGAGCTAACATTAAAATGCCCATTCAAACTGCGTAGGAACCAATCTGATTTACGGGTCGAAATATAGGAAAAGTTCTAAACATCCGAAATTAAGGAAAATCCAGAGAAGTGGAAAAAATTAGGGTGAGAAAAGGGGAAGATCAATATTATTATTATACAGGATTTATATAGCGCCAACAGTTTCCGCAGTGCTTTACAATATAAGGAAGACATTACAATCTTCCTTATATTGGAGGGGGGGGGGGGGGGGAAAAACAGCAAAAAAAGAAAGAATAGACAAGAGGAGGGGAAGAGAAGGAATAAAGAAAAAGTGAAGGGGAAGTAAAAGATGGTAAGAGTAGGAAAAGAATAAATAGTACTAAAAACACCCACCCAACCTCAGGAGTCCCGAGACAAATCGGGGCATTTAAAAGAAGATTAGGTCCAAAGAAGGCTCTGAGGCCTGAATACAATCTTTATTTTTATTGTCAAAAGTTACTCATGTGAAATTGGTAGTCACCCAGTGATATTCTCTACCAATGAGCTGCCTGCTCTGATTGGGTGTTCTGACAGGGGCCGGCAGCCCCATCAGAATACAATGTAAACAGCGGGATCCCTCAATCGACACGCTGTTTGTGTTGATGGAGGAATTTTTTTAATCCAGTCTGCGGGTTGAACAAAAAAATTGATAGGTGCATGGCACGCCTAAGATTAAGAACCAGTGCACTAGAACGCAGATTACAATTGATTTTCAGCCCTGCTTCCCCATTGGAATAAACAGAGAGAATTAATGTAGCCCAATGACAAAAGCAGCTCCGCTAAAAAGCCGAGCTGGGTGATTTGTATGTATAAAATCAGGAGGATGTTTGAAATTGGAAATACATAAATATAATGAATTAACACTGTGACTTCTATAAGGGGTGAGCAAGCTCATATGCTGCCCAGGACCTGACACGTCTGCAGTGTGTTTGGTTTTTCTGCACTTAATGGAGCTGACCGACAGCCCAGATTTCACTGCTCTCCTACTGCACAAGGAAGTTGTTTTTTTCATCCTCAAAAGTGCAAAGCCCACTTAAGCCGGCCATACACCTAGAGATTATCTGCAGATTTTCTATGGTCAGAAGGGAAAAAGTGCAACAGATTCCTCCATCTACGCTAAACTGTGTGGATGGAGGAATCTCCCATTGGGCCAAGCTTCAGTATCTTGCTAGTCGGCCCACACTGGCTCTCAAAATACCTGAGCAATGCCTGCATCCAATCGGGTTGTTCAAGTATTTTGAGAGCCAGCGGGGGCTGACTAGCAAGATACTGAAGTTGGAGATTCCTCCATCCACACAGTTTAGCATAGGTGGAGGAATCTGTTGCACTTTTTCCCATCTGACCATAGAAAATCTGCAGATAATCTCTAGGTGTATGGCCGGCTTTACAGGGCCAAGGTTTTAAAATCCGACATGTTCTGACACATAATGACATCGTAAAGATTTGTTTTCACTGAAAGGGCTTCAATGTGGGTATAATTATAATAGAATAGAAGGCAGAGATGAAATACTCAAATAAATAAATGGCCCTCGCAGAATGGAACGGGCGATGTCATTAGTGTTCAGTAACTTAGCAACCCCTTTCTACTATTCATGGTGTCTGTAGTTGTAGAATGTGCTTGTTTTTCAGGACTTTGAAGAAAGGGTGGGGGGGTAGGGGGGGTCTGTGGAAAATGATTGGTGCTCTACCGTAGTGTATCTCAGCTACTTACAGAAGCATTTCTGGTTGTGTCCAATGGTACAGATGACACTGAAGATTTGGGGTAAAAGGGGGAAATAATGAAAATATTAACGTAAAGCCCAACTCCGGTCATAAATATTTTACCGGACGATCAGTAAGTTGAACAATGCCTTTGCTGTGTAGCCACCGGCCAAAATCAGAGCTGCCTCTTTCGTGCCACAAATCATCTTGTATACAAGATGCACGTTGTACCACCAGTGCGGATATTTCTGTCTGAGGGGATTGCAATTCCATATACATCTAAGAAATCAGAATCCAAATCTGTGCAATTGTACTGGAATTTGAACTAGGAATCCTTAAAGAACTCCAGGTATGTAAAAATTTTACCCTGCAGGGGGGACTAACCCTGCACTGCAAGGGTTAACTGCTCGTTTTCTCTCTGGGGGCCAGAATAGAGAAGAAGAAGATATACTCACCTGATCCTCGGTCCAGTGGTAGTGAATGCTCACTTCTCACCCCCTCCGCTCTGGCTGTGATATGTCCCTTGGTGTCCTCATGTCCAATGCAAGTCAATGGACTGCATAAGACGTAATGACGTCAACGGGGATTAGACTGCTGCAGCCCAGGGGAGAAGAGGCTGCGGGGACCGGTCTAGCATCCAGGTGGGATTGAGGGTTGGATGAGTAATTTTTTTTTTTGTATTTAAACCCCTAGAGAAAACCAAAGTTAACCCTTGCAGTGCGGGGGTAGCCCCACTGCAAGGGTTAACGTTTTACATTCCTGGAGTTCCTCTTTAACAAACATGGGAGCTAGCATACAGCACCACTGACCTGATAACAGTGCAATTCTCTGCATCATTATAATGTGAGTGCAGGTTGCTGGGTTGATTGATGCCAAACCCCCCTCCTAGGGAGTGAGCACATAGAGCCCTGCACTCAAAGGAAGTGGGTTGGCACTGGATCAAACAACAGGTTAGTCTGCAGGAGACTGGCGCCGAAAGTGAATACTGTTGCCAGGGTTGTTTACTTGTCAAAATGGCTGGAACATCAATTTATCATACAATTTTGAAAGTGGAATTGGGCTTTAACAGGAGCCTGCGAAGGGTAGAAATATGGGAGGTTGTCATCTTTATAGTGACTCATCTGCCTAGTAAATGACCTAGAAAGTATGCAGGAGCAGATTTCAGACTTTATAGACTTTACTGGCTGCATGCTCGTCCTGGATTAGTGACTCACTAGGTAGCAAAGCCAAGAGCTGTATAAAAGCCCTTTAAAAAACACTGCACAATGGCAGGTACCATATTTCTATCCACAGAGGTTTCCTATAATATAAATGGTGTCTTCTAGAAAGAAGAGTGTGGACGTGACACAGATTCAAAACTGAAGACCAATTCTTATAAGGGCTTGTTCACACCAAATGCAGGCCAGATCTGCATGAGTTTCTTCACACGCAGTGCAGTGGGTTGTGCCGCGTTTTTGCTGCGTTCCGGGCCGTTTTTGGTCAAAATTTTTTTTTAAATCATTTAAAATGGGCTTTCAGTGCGTTCCAGGGCGTTTGCATGCGTTTTTGATGTGTTTGCATGCGTTCCAGAGCAGGTAAAATAGGGCTTACTGCAGTTTTTTTTACATGCTCTGGAACTGAACGCTGCGGTGTGAACTAGAGCCCAAAATACCATTGGAATACATTGGGCGCAGTTTAGATCCGGTCTGTAACTGCTCTGCTCCTGGAACACGCTTGGTGTGAACAAGGCTTAAAGGTCAATGAAGGGAAATGTTATATATTTATACAACAACAAACAACTGAATGTAAATTAAACTATTTCTGAGAACTCCGATCGCTGACCTTACTTTGCAAGCTTGCCAGCACACAAAATATGCAATATACAAGCTATTCACATACAGAAAGATGTGCTAATCTGTAACATTTCCACCAACTCGCTGGCTGAAAACGGAAACATTTTAGGAATTCGGCTGGATGTGATGGCAGCCAGACAAGATGTTTAGATCTTTAGCGCACTCTTGTGGTCACAACTATAACTGCATGCCTAACATGGGCTAATATGTAACCCTTGAAAATGTTATGAAAGAAACGTTAACCCTTGCAGCAGGGCCCCGCAGTACTGCAAGGGTTAACTGCTTGTTCTTCTCTAGGGGCTGTAATATAGAAGAAATACTGACCTGATCCTCGGTCCTGCGGCAGTGACAACGCACCTCTCTCCCCCTCTTCGGCTGTGGTATGTTCCTTGGCATCCTTACATCTAATGAACCTGCATTAGACGTGATGTCATGGGTCCTTAGACTGCCAGAGCCCAGGGGAGAAGAGACTGCAGGGACCGGACTAGCAGCCGGGCGGGACAGAGGATCAGGTGAGTATTTCACCTTAATTTTCACTCCCTAGACAAAATGAGCACCTACCCCCCTTGCAGTGCAGGGGTAGCCCCACTACAAGACTTCATGTTCTTAAAATGCTATAGTTCTACTTTAAACCATGTATGAAGCATGTCCATTTATAACATTTCCTTCATTTTCTCTTTTTTATCCTTCACAGGTCTTTGCTGTTTCACTGGAGTGCTGGCACAGACAGAGATTCGAAGTGTATCTGAGGAAAACGTGACCCTGCCGTGTCAACACAGATTGGGATTGGTGGGGAAAAACTTGGACATTGAGTGGCTGTCGAATGCTTCGGACCACAGCCAAAAAGTGGTAATTTACACAATTCCTTATTGGTTGTTTCAATAAATCCAACACACGTAAAATGTGTAAAAGACGCAGAGAGGCAACAAGTTCCCAAGCAGTTTCCACCATTTTAGGCTCATAGGGTCCCTATATCCCACACAATCATGTGTGGATCTCATGGCATACATCTAAAGGGAACTTTTGCTTGGCAGGTAGCGCATAACAGTTTTCAACTGAACCATTATCCAACTGGAATAATGTATAAGTACTATTTATGCTGCCAGAAAATTGCTGTTGACTGACAAAACGCAGTGGGTGGATTCTATAGCCAACAGCCAGTCTGCTATTAGTTTTGGAATCCACCCACTGCCTACTGTCAATCAGCAGCAAAGTGGACCTGGTGGGGAACTAAGCTCTTAGAGTTCCCCATAGGGCTCCGCCTACTGTCACTGGGACTAATTCGCCATCAGGTCTACTCTGCTGCTGATTGACAGCAGGCAGTGGGCAGATCCCATAACCAATAGCAGGCTGGCTATTGGCAATGGAATCTGCCCACTACCAGTTCTAAGTCACAAGGGAGGCAGATCTGATGGGGAACTAGTACCTCAGCTTCCCTATCCAGCTCTGCCCACTCAGCAACATCATTGGTTGCTAAGAGGCTGTGGATTGTGCAGCTGACTGCATCTTCGCAACCAGTGACTCATCCTGGCCTCATTCAGCTGCTGGCCGGGAGGTTGCAAGGCTAGCAGCTGAACGTAAACAAATTCCATAATGCCAAAAAAGTGGCACTAAACCTTTATTGAATTTCCCTCATGTGTCAAGATGTGACAAGAAGTCACAGGGAGAGGCATTGCAAGATTCTAACCTATCCCCATTCTTTTGTTTAAAAGTGAAGAATACATTTTGAAAATCTAAGAAAGAACTTTGGTCTAAGCAAAAGCTTTCATTTGGTTTCCAACAGTGAGATGTTTTGGTTTCTGTTGCCATATTCTACCTTTATAAAGTCTGGATTTTTTAGGGGGCCTCATTGCTGCATCCAGTAGAAGAACATGCTGTATAAATGTATGACTAACATACACAGGTCCACTGTAAAATCACTGGGAGTCAGGGGGGAGTAATGTGTCTGTGCCATCCGCACCATTACCAAACAGGACATGCTGAGAGGGAGTGACTCCTAATTTATTTTTTGAATTCTCATACATGTATATGACCTATTGGAGACATGGGGACATCATACAAAATGATTTCAAGTAAAGTGTTATTTTTCTGCAACTGCACTGCAGTTTTATAATGTCACAAGGGATTTAAGTACTTTCTATGAACTATAATGATAGAAGTATCTGATTCTTATAATTGAAAACACACAACAAGCTGCGAAAGTATAGAGGAAGGGACTTTGAATTTAGCAATTGGCACACTGGGGCTATAAAAGGCATCCAAAGTGCCTGCAGAAAATGCCAAACACAGAGGAGAGAATAAACCGAGTGTTATGTACTTCACAGATCCTCAGTTACAGTGGAGGACAAGTCTACGAGAATGAAGAACTGAAGGGCCGTTACAGCTTTATTTCCAACTACTTAGCTGGAGATGCTGCCATATTTATCAGATCCCTGGAGCCTAGTGATGCCGGACTGTACACCTGCAAAGTAAAAAATGCTGGCCAGTATGAATGGAGCTATATCAGACTGAGGATTCTAGGTGAGCCCTACCTACAGGAAATCAAAAGCTGAAGTGTGTCCTGTTGACATGTACACATAACACCAGTTTATCTGTTCCCTCTATTCCCATTTACCACTAACTCTTTTACTCTGGTTTAATACTGGTATCCCCCATTTCTTGGGAGCCAACTATTTTCTCTTTTGTGGAGTTAGCTACTGAGCCCCACAACTGTGTTGAGCTCCGTCAAACAGACGAAAAACAGTATATGACTTAGATATTTGTCCAGTATATACTACAGGTACATGCTACAACATCTCAATTCGGTTGAGGTCTGGACAAATTCCAGAAAATAAATGTTCTACTATTTAAGCCGACTTGTTTCCAATTGTCACATAAACATATGAAAGCCAGAGCAAAGTAAACAATGTATAAAGCGGTATAAATATAACTATAATAGATTTTGTGAATGGAGCCCAGCAACAAAGAATTAGATGGGCTATAAAATAATGTATACAGACAGCAAAAGCACCGGGCCATTCATTTTGGTTAAATTAATGTACATGTAGTTAAGCCAATTATCTTGCTAGGAAACAAATAGCATTGCCCGGTGTTACTTGCACAGGTCCTTAGCAGCTAGGATGCTTTTAAAATGGATGTTGGAAAATCAGACATCCCAACTATCACGGACGCTCTGGGAGTCTCCCGCTATTAGATAGCAGCTCCTGGCAGACCGGTGAAAAAAACATTTTCTCCTGGAAAGGTTTACTCTGCTCTGCCTAGCAGAGTAAACCTTTCTCTGCTATCTGATTTATTTATTTTTTTCTGACATCAGGGAAAAAAACAAAAGCATTGGAATAAATAGTTAGGCTTCTATTCGCTATTTCATTTTGCAATAGCCAATAGCAGACTAGCTATTGCACCCGCCCACTGCTGCTGTCAATCAGTAGAGGTGGACCTGAAGTTCTCCATGATGTCCTCCTCTGCTGATTGACAGCAGCAGAGTGCGGATGCAATAGCCAGGTTGCTATTGGCTATTGCAAATTGAAATAGCCAATAGCAATCTAGCTATTCATTCCTATGCTGTTTTTTGTTTTTATTATTCTGATGGCAGCAGCTGTCAGAATACTAAAAAAAAACCCCAGCAGATAGCACAGGAAGCAATAGCTTCTTTGCTATCTGCCATCATTTCAGGGGGGTGGGCAGGCACCTCCCTGAAATAAGAAGGGCACCTCCCTGAAATTACTTTTTTCAGGTTGGGATCCCTGGAAAATCATGGCTTGTTATGCCTTTACCCTACTGCCTTTCTTATGCCCTAGCTATTCATTTTAAAAATCCTTACAAATGTACACACATTCCTATAGACAAGACTGTTGAAAAAAATGATAGCTGATGTTTCTCTGACTTGTAGGCATTTCTATTTCTTTTACAGTGAAACCTTCAGAGCCTGACTGTTGGGTTGAAGGGGAACAGATCGTAGGAAGAAATATCACTTTGCATTGCAATGCATCGCTTGGGACCCCACCCATGGCCTATGGGTGGAAACGGATAAAGCAAAAGGGTGATATTGAAGTGGCCTTACCAAGTAGTGCCCGCTTTGGTAAGACACCCTATTGAAAGTAATCCTTTCAGTAATAATGCACAAAGTGTATGTTACCCGCTCTGCAAAGCTCTGTACTTTTCAAAAGGCATTCCTAACTTAGGGTATGTTTCTATTTTCTTTTAGATTCGGCCCAGCGACTAGTGCTGAAAAATCTGAGTGTAGCAGACAATGGCTCTTACCGTTGTGCTGTGAGCAATGAAGTCGGAAGACGGATATGTAATATAAATTTGACAGTACAATGTAAGTCACAATATCAACAGGTCTTGAGATGAGATATCAGCCACACAGGGAGTGCGTTGTTTTTAATGTGCTTGCTGACTAATAATGGGATGTAAAACACAACTGCATGAAGTTAAGCTGACTGCTCCCTTCTTCATATACTGTACAATTACAAACTATCCACACAAAAAAAGGTCTTTAATATATAAGAAACATTGATAACATTCTTTACATACATCACAAACTAATTTCTTTTACATCCATATATCAAAAAAATCTCATATGCCAGTTCAGTGTTAGATTATTTTATCCAAATACATTTTTTATGTATTTTTAAATGATCAACTCTCCTATTTTAATAAATGTTTGATGGGAGACCATTACAGCCCAAAGGAGTTCAATTTGGAATTAGGAAAGGTAATTAGCTACATTGCCAGTCTGATGATGTTAGCATATAGTTAGGAAAAACTGACAGAGTGGGACAAAGAATATTTTTTATTATTATCTGAAAATTTTGCGGTGTTGTGCTCTTAAAAAAAAAAAAGAATTTAATCATGCACATATTTTTTTTCTTTATTTGCTATACAGCTCCTACTAATGTGGCTTTTCTGGCCGGAACCGTTTGTGGAACTGTGGGTGGTGTGTTTGTCCTGTTTTTTATCTGCTGGATGGTTTTACGGAAGAAAGAGCTCAAGAAAAGGGAAGAAGACGAATTTCTTAATGAAATTAGGTAAATTAATCGATGCTAAGCACCCTCAACAAAATAATTAGCAGAGCAACCCTTAACTTAATTCACAATTAAGTTAAAGTTACATTAAAGTTAAAAAAAAAATTCCCTCCCCCAATGTTAATGTTAGCACTTACCTGAAATGATGTCTCTTAATCCGATCTTCTACTTTCCTGATGTTTTCATCTGTCCCTCCAGCGGTGCGGCGGCTCTCAGATCCAGCGCTGACTCTGTCCCTGCAGGCACTTCCGATCCCGCGGTGTCTGCATGCGGGTGCACGCGTCCATAGACTTACCTTGCGTCTCTGCTCGTCTCCCGGCCGAAAATCCGAACTGCTCATGCGCCTGCCCCAAGATGCTTTGCGGCCACCCGAGCAGTCTCGGATTCTTGGGCTGGAGCGCGCGGCGATAACGGGGTAAGTTTAAAGCGCTGTTAAAGCGTTTAAAAAAAAAACTTTTTGCCTATATCTACTGCTTGCTAGCAGTAGATATAGGCAAAAAAAACAGAGGGTTTAGAACCCCTTTAAGGTTGCGCTGCTAATTATTCACACTCTGATCTGCATGACTCCTGTAAAAGTTGATCAGGTTCACAGAAATGTATAGGCCTCATAATCACATACATGTTCACAATCTCTGCAAGTATAGCACACACACTGTAATACGAGAGGAACCTTTAACCTGTAGTTGTTCCCTTTGTACTAATGCTTGAAGAGTAAGCACAGGTATAGGTCAATGATATACTCTTCACATACAGGTTTATGTTAAAGAAGTTCATAACAATTTACGTAGCACTTCACATACTATTACTTCACATCAGTTACTGCCCTTACAGTCTAAGATTCCTATCTCACATGCATACATACGGGGCCAATTTAGACAGGAGCAAAAAAAACCTTCCAGCGTGTCTTTGGGGTCTTAGAGGAAAACACACGGAAGAACAGGGAGAACATGCACACTCCAAACTGACCCTGCTGAGTCTGGAATTGAACCAGGGACCTCAGTGTAAGGCAGAAGTGCCAATTATCTCCAAGCTAGGCTCCAACACTAGGCACATAAGAATACTGGGACCACCCCTTTGAATCTATAACCCCCTCCAATACCAATTCCGCTCAGCAGAATTCCAAAGAGCAAGCAGTCCAAAGAGAGCGACAGCATATGAGGGGAGCGACGGCATATGTTTCCCTTAATAGACTCGGGTGAAAGGAATTTTTACAGTGAGTACACAATTCCTACTTTGCCTATCATCCATTAAGATAGACAGCTTGATATTAAGCACCCTAGAGACATCCAGAGCAGTCCAAACAGAATGACATGCACACTTCAACAAAACACAGGTATACAACAAACCCAACAAGATAAAACCCTAACAGAAAACAGGAAAACCAAGGGAATTAAATCGCTGCTTGAAGAACCTTCTGACTGAAATTAGCATCTGCAGAAGCAGGTACCTCAACCTTGTAGAACACAGAGAATGTATGCATAGAAGACCAGGTTGAGACCTTACAGAGCTGAGAAACAGAGGCTTGATAACAGAAAGCCCAAAAAACACTCACTGCCCTAGTGGAGTAGGCTTTTACAGGAAAATGAGACATATCTCACAACACATACTGCAGACCTGCACATTACCTTGTCTAATCCACTTAGAAATAAAGGATCTGGAAGGCAGAGAACCTCTTTTATGGCATTCTGAAATAACAAAAAGGGAATCAGTCTGTCAGTGGCAGAAAGGTAAACCCTGACAACCCTTACTACATCCAGGCATTGTAATGTAGTCTTCCTTGAGTGAGCCAGTGATGGGCACAGGGAAGGTAACACACTACCCTCATTAAGGTTTAAAACAAAAACCACTTTAGACACAATTGAGGTCTTTGGTCTCAAAACAACCGTTTGGCTAGAAAGTAACCCTTCTAACCAAAGTGAGGACTACAGGAAAGGCTACCTTACTGGATAGCAATGTCACTAGGTATTAAATAATTGCCATGGATGGAGTGGAAGCCTGACTGGGGCCACAACATGTGTAACTGCTTTATTAAAAGTACAGATCAGTAAATTATCAGCAAGAAGCCAATAAAAAGAAAGGACAGGCAGGCACCTGAGCATTGTTGAGTGTTAGGGCCAAGTGTTGATCTACCTCCAACTGAAGGAAAGAACACGACCCAACGAAAAGGCATGTGGGGAACCCTCCAGAGACTCATGCCAGTGACAATAAGCAGCGCTGTAGTGACATCACCAAACCTGGCTCCAAATCTGGGAAGACTAGCGTTCAGATGCCTTAGATCATCTCACACTGGAACTATACATATATGAGGCTAAAAAGGAGCGCATAGGCGTATTCAAATGTCAGTGCACTGCTATTTTTCAGAATGACTTTAGAGAAAAGGGTAAATCTTTTAGGGTACTGCTCAAGCACAATCAACATTTCTAGATGTTCCCCATAAGGGAGCAAATCTTCACTTTTTGAGTTCAGGTGGACTTATGTTTTCTGCACTACTTTTTCAGGGAGGATGCTGAAGCCCCTAAAGCTCGGCTGATGAAACCTGAATCAAGCACCTCAGGCTCCAGAAGCTCACGCTCAGGTTCTTCATCCACTCGTTCCACAACCAACAGTGCCTCTCGTAGCCAACGAACTCTCTCAACACAGGAAACTCCTCGCAGAGAGTTAAGACATCACTGCCTGGAGCAGATATAGCAAGAAAGGCGCAGCAGACATAAAATGAGACATGGAATCTTTAAAAGAATGTATTTGTCAGATGACACAAGAAAATGAACAGCGGGCCACCTGTAAGGCTAAGGACTACAAGGATGTCTGGGTTACATGTACATCTTTTAGGCCACATCTTTGTTTTATTTGATTTACTGCATCACCAGTAGAGAATTTGCACCTTTTTTTCAGAAAACAGAATATGGAGATACAAAGCATTGAATGGAAACAGAGCTAAGGAAAAGCAACACAATTTATTCTTCACAAACAAGTACAAAAAATACATAAAACCATGTGTGGACTCTGCCAGGGAATGTGAACAAAAGCGGTACAACTTATTATGATTTGTGTTGTGAACAACACAAGGAAGGTAAAGTAACTAACTTCAATGAACTATGTAGCAATGTGAATTGTTTTTTGTAAGGGAAACTTCTTAAAACTACTTTATGACAAAGGTACAAAAATGTTTAATGATTAGCATTTGTCCTATGAGAAGGATTTTTATTTCATACTGTTTTAACCTTGTGAATTTCAGTGTCTTGTGAAGCCAAAACCTCTAGCAGCAGATTAGTCTGCACAGAATGACTTCAAGAAACTTGCTTGGAAAAAGGGAACTGGCAACTTGCCAAAACTGTAATTCCATTCTTGTCTAGTAGCCGCCAATGACATAGACTAATATGCATCTGCCACCCACACACAATGGAGAGGTAATGCTTGTGAGAATGCAGCCCACAATTTTATATCTGGTTCCTAGTAAGGAACATGTTGCATTCTCATGAACAGACACAATGGGGGGAATTAAAGGAGAATAATGGGGAGAGTGAAATACACTCTCCCCGAATTTTAGAGCCAACGTTTGACATTACAGCTATCACACGTCGGCTCTACAGATTGAGAACTGAGCGATCAGTGACCGATCCCTGTAGGGATTCCCCCCTCCCCTCTCTCTTACTGGAGGGGAGGGGGCAGGCACAGCTGGCCCACTATATACTGAGTTTTGGGTCATGGGAGGACATTAGTAAATGTCCTCCTGTGACCCCTAAGAGAACTATGGCCAGAAAAAGTTAGACCATAATTCTCTTTTATCAAAATGTGTCAGAGACAAACTTTGTCTGAAATGGAGTGCAGCCAATTGGCTTTTACATTTTTATTTTCTAAGCTGTGTGGGAAAAAAATGAAAGATAGAAGCTGATTGATTGTTATGGGGAAATGCACAAATCGACATAGAACTTGTCTCAAACACTTACAGGGTTATTCACAAAAGGGTGAAGAGTTTGGAGAAGGCAGGAGAAGTGAACAATCTAGGACAACATAACTGAACTGGAAAATGAGCTGAATTGGAGAATGTGTCCAAATCAGCGATGTTGTCCCAGATTGTTCCCTTCTCCAAATTCTTCACCCTTTGTGAATAACCCTGATAATAATTTCCCCCAAAGTGTCACAGATATTACCAGTTCCTTTCAGAGTCTCATTCTGGATAGCGGCACAAAATGGCCAGTTCTGCTGTGTGTGAGGTAACACATGCACTTTACCAGTGCTATAATAATATTTACCAGTAAGGGAAAGTCTCAAGCTGCGGTCACTCCCATTGTGCAATCACTCATAACGTGTAAGCTCACCTTACAATAAATCAAACTCATAATCAGGTCCCTTAAACTAAATAGCCTTAAATAAAAATTAAAAAAACAACATGCCAAGCCAAGGTGTTGATGATGAAAAACCTCAGACGATGCTTATTAATACTGCAATAATGAAAATTGTGAAATATTTTGTATACAAGTAAGGGCTCATGTCGGATAAAAGGGTCATTACCACTGAGTATTCCCTTAAGGAACCACTATCAGCAATTTATCCAACTGCTCTTGGAGGAAATATAACAACCAAGACAGTTGTTCACAGATATGTTTACATATAAAGTATATTTCTGGCTGTTACTTGCTCTTACACATAGGAGCCGCCCACATATAAGCCATAGCTTGTAAAAAAAAAATGAGAATCTATATATTCTATGCGAATTGCTACATCCAAGGAGCAGTCCTATGTCTTAACTTTTCTACTTGGAAACTGAAGTGTGAATTCCTTTTTTAAATGGAGTCATCTATAAAGCCTTTATATTCATTCTGTTCCACGATGATAAACATCAGGTTTCTGCTCTAGTACATCGGTCTTGGTTTTGTGACTTGAGTTGCCATCGTGAATCATGTAGTATGAATTATGTATAGAGATGGATGCATTGCAAAAAATACAGCTTGGGTCAGATTGCTTTCTGCGTATTACAGAAAAATGTAACATGAAGCAGAACGCCAGACAAAAATAACAAGATAAAAATGAATTGCCCATTCAAAGATAAAATCCACTTCCTCCCTAGCCTGTTACTGCACCGTGAAAAGGAGAAGCAGCACAATGATAATCTCTCTGACACTTTTCTTTCTCTTCCTATCAGCATGCTTCTCCTCACTCAGTACATGAACAGATTAGCTCCTTGTACTGCTTCTTCGTCTCACACTCCAGCCCTCCACACTCCACACTATACAATGAGTGCAAGAGGCAGAAACCGGGTCAAATTCAGTACTTACATTCCTTGTATTTAAAAACTACATTTAATGACGTGTTAATCAATACAGATCTGCATTCCTTTGCGTCTTTTAGCTCTGCCTAGAACTTAGCTTTAAAAAGAAAAGGGGATATTTGTTCTGCTACTGATCTAGCTCTTACTTCCTATCCTGATGACAAAGGAATTACTATTGTCTGCAAACCAAGTGATGAGAAGAGATATCCCAATGGGGCCCTTTTCCCATGACATTTCTGGAAGGTGGGATTCCCCGTACTTTGAGTGGATTTCAGCTCACTTCCTGTTGTGTTGCTGAGACAGGAATTAAGAGAGGTCTGCCCAAAGAAGACAGCAATAAAAACCTGACAGAGGTTTTAATCCTTCCACAGTCTATCCAACACTAGAAAACCACTTTTGGCTAAAGTTCAGCTGTATGCAGCAGCTGAGTTGTATTATATGTTCTCTGCAGACTTATAAGGGTTGTGTTTGAAACTTATTTTAATAATAGCCCCAGTGAGTATATAGTATTCTAGGAATTGGCATTTTTATGGCATTAACTGTATATTTTGCTCTCTTATTTAGCGTTACTCACTCAGTCTGAGTTTGACTCTTCAGCTTTTGTTAGGGGTCACCTAAAATATGACAGTTGTGTCCGCGACACCTGCTTTTGGTCACACTGTTCCCCCTTTCCTGAGTGCGCAATGGGTGAGGTCAGGTGGTTGACAAGACCTCAATTTACCTCTGACTTCCTGGTACAAGCTAAAGGGTCAGAGTATGTAAACCAAAATACTGGGTAAACTTAAGTTTTTCATAAACAAGCCTGCACCATGATATCCTTACATAGACCCGATTGATATTGGCTCTCTTTCATGATGAATTCATGTTCCTGTACTGAAGTAAATACACATTGCCAGTTGTTACTGTAAGGCTGGGTTCCCACCTAGGCGGTTTTCCGCGCTTTCGTACTCGCGGAAAACCGCTCAAGCAGGGAAATGCCATTATTTTCAATGTGTATGGTTCCCATCTGTGCAGTTTTCCGCGAGTACGAACGCGCGGGAAACCGCCCTACGCCCAAAGAAGTACATGTACTTCTTTGGGGCATTTTGGTCGGGCGGTTCCATTGGGATGCAGCCAAGTATCCCTCGTAAACACGCGTTTGCCGCGCGTTTTTTTACCGCGAATCGCGGTAAAAAACCCGCGCGGAAAACGCGCATATTCAATCCGCCCAGGTGGGAACCCAGCCTAACAATAGCCTGAAAACAAAGTATTTTTTGCTTGTTGTTTCATATTTTAATTATTGCCTTTCATTTACAGATAATGTAAATGATCCCTCTAATGGCCATCTGTAAATCAGAGAAAGCTAAATCCCAACTCCCACCTAAATTTCTACTTCTCCAAAATGTTTCCAGTATTAAAAAATAAAAACGATATCTCAGGATGCAATACTTACCTTCAATCCCTGTACAGTACCTCTTCCTCACTACAATATGGCTTAAGTCTTCCGGGTTAAATGAGGGTCCTTCAACCTGGAAGACTGAGGACATACTGTGAATGAACGCCGTCATCACGGTGTCCTTCATTCACAATGCACAAGTGTGAAGTGCAGAACTGACGTCATCACATCAGTGCCATTCTCTGCATCGGTACGGACCTCCCTGCCCTGAAAAAAGGAAAAAGGGAAGACTACCCTGTTGTGTCATGTGATTGGACTAAAGCAGGGGTGTCAAACTCAATTTAATCGTGGGCCGCATAAACATTACATAAACATTGCCCTCAAAGGGCCGGTTGTATCTGTAAGACTATATAAATGTATCTAATCTTTATCATAAATTGCCTCTGCATTCGATTATCACTGGTTTTAGTAATAACTTAATACCTAGATCTGAAAGTAGAAGTCTAGGAAATGGCCCGGTGGGCCGGATTCGGCCCCTGGGCCTTGAGTTTGACACATGTGGACTAAAGGCTTTAGAAAAGGTAAGTATACAAAAATTAAAATAGCATAAAATACACCCGGAGGGATCCAGAGTTGGAGTTAAGCTTTAAGAATGCTTAATAACTGTTGTGATAACCACAGTAGGCTTTATAGAGAATCAGCAGTAAAGTAAAGCACAGCTACCGCTCAATACAACTAAGAGGGAATAAGAACCTGCATAGGTAGATGTATGCAGAAAAAACATTTCAAAACAGGAAACGTTAGTAAAATTATGTAAATTAAGCTGAGCACATTTACACATTTGGTTGCCCGTAACCAGCTTGAGAAAAGCAAGTTGTATTCACGAAGAAACTTGTTCAAAGGCAGGGAGACATCTTCCCCGGCTGTCACCCTCAGGGAACTCTCTAACCATTTACAGCCAGTCTACAGCTTAAAGGGAAAAGAAAAAACAATCTGCTCTTCAAAGCAGGCCTTGCCTCAAAATACAAGGCCCACTTCCTTGTTAGTCTCTCACCTAAAAGTGTTTCCAAGAACCACCCGCACTCCTTACGGTCTGCAACCTTCCAATGGTGGTGCTGCTCATGGTGATCACACGGATGTCGCCGTGCAAAACTCAGAATAGTCTCAACAGGTCACCGACACACACATAGATGAATTGAATATCTGTTTGATATGTTTACTGAAGAATGTCACAGCATGTCATTAGAAGCTGAAGCTA